TTTTGTTTCCTCTCCTCTATCCCTCTTCTATCCGCCTCCCACTCTCTCCCTATTTATTTCAAAACCCCCTTCCCCTCCCCCTTTTCTGATGAAGGGTCTAGGCCCGAAACGTCAGCCTCTCTGCTCCTATGATGCTGCTTGGCCTGCTGTGTTCATCCAGCCCTGCACCTTGTTGTCTCGGATTCTCCAGCATCTGCAGTTCCTACTATCTTTGATGCAAGTAAGGTGTTTTCCCTGGACGAAGAGTCTAGAATCAGGGGGCACAGCTTAAAAACAAGGGGGATGTCACTCAGCTTTGAGATGAAGTGAATTTATTTTACTCAGAAGGTTGTAAATGGGTGGCACAGTGGCTCAGGGGTTAGCACTGCTGCCTCACAGCGCCAGGGACCCAGGTTCGATTCTAGCCTCAGGTGACTGTCTGTGTGGAGTTTACACATTCTCCCTGTGTCTGTGTGGGTTTCCTCCAGGTGCTCTGATTTCCTCCCACAGTCCAAAGATGTGCAGGCTAGGTTGACTGGCCATGATAAACTGCCCATAGCATTCAGGGATGCCTAGATTAGGGGGATGGGTCTGGGTGGGATGCTCTGAGGGTTGGTATGGACTTGTTGGGCTGAAGGGCCTATTTCCACACTGTAGGGATTGCATTGAATGGGGGAGCAGGCTTCACTTCTGTTCCTAAGTTTATATCATTTTCACTGGGTGCAGCATTACAAAATTCCACTGAAATAGCTGTGGTGTCTTGGACACAAAAATCACAAAGGGTTTGATTTTCCTTTTCCAAAAAGAAAAGGTGGGGGTGGTGGGGGTGGGGTAGCGGGGTTGTGTTAGGTGGTGGCTAACACATGACTCCCTCCAATCTAGTCATCAAGAACTAACAGGCATGCATAACGGTGAGTACCTCATCCTATCACAGGCCTTGACACTAATGACCTGGGTCACCAGAAGCTGCTAGCCAATCAGATGGTGGCAGCTGCTGGCTCCAAATATCTGTCAAACTTTGTGGAGTCTGGCAACGAAACGGAATACTTACAGTTTCTTCTTCTTTGTGGGGGTGGGTTGTGTGGAGATGAGGGGTTGGAGACAATTACAGCGCAGTGGCTTTGAGGCCACACCTTCACCTGCCATCTATGCCTCTGGCTGTCCCCAGATTGGGGTAGTCGGTCCCCCAGTGTCCCACTAACTTGGGGTTCAGGTCATCACAATTTCCCACTTGGGAGCCGAGCCGCCTTTCTCAGGGAAGCAGATAAAAAGGGAAGTGGTGAGTTGAGGCTTTTAAATGGCCACTAACTGACCACTTAAGGGCAAATGGAAAAAGTGACCCATGGATATTTTTGTCCTACACCTTATTGCTCAATTCTTTCCCCTTCTTACCACCTCTAGGGAGGGGAAACCTCCACTCACAGAGACAGATAAGGGACAAAAACAAAGTTGCTGGAAAAGCTTAGCAGGTCTGGCAGCAACTGAGAAGGAAAAAACAGAGTTAATGTTTCGGGTCTGGTGACCCTTCCTCAGAACAAAACAGCCTCAGTTCTGAGGAAGGGTCACCGGACCCGAAACGTTAACTCTGTTTTTTCCTTCACAGATGCTGCCAGACCTGCTGAGCTTTTCCAGCAACTTTGTTTTTGTTCCTGATTTACAGCATCCGCAGTTCTTTCGGTTTTTATTGTGACAGATAAGGGTTTGGTAATGCACGAAAAGTTTCTTGCCTCAAAAGGCTATGGATCTTTAAATCTCTCTACCCCACAGAACTCAAGATGAGCAGTCATTGAACATATTCAAGATAGGCTTGGAGTGATTGTTGGATGCAAAGAGAATTGAGGGAGATGGAGAATCAGGGTAGGAGATTAGCCACAGTCTTAATGAATAGCAGTGCAGACTCAGAAGACGGATTGGTCAATTACTGCTGCTGTTACTTTTAAAAATTAATTCATGGATGTGGTTGTTACTGGCTGGTTCAGCAATTATTGTCCGTCCCTGATTTGGCTGGAGGTGAACTGCCTTCCAGAACATCTGTATCTTTGGATTGATCCTATGAAATTGAAGGAACAGCAATATATTTCCAAGTCAGGATGGTGAATGGCTTGGACTGCTCTTGCAGGTTGTGGTGTTTCCAGATATCTGCTGCCTTTCTCCTTCTAGATAGTAGTGATCAAGGCTTTGGAAGGTGCTGTTAGAGGAGTCTTGGCAAATTTCTGAAATTCTTTGTGTACTTGGCACATTATGCATCTACTAAGTGTCTCTGATGGAGGGAGTGAATGCTGAAAGAGGTGAATGCAGTGCCAATCAAGCAAGTTATTTTGTCCAGAACAGTGTCAACCTTCTTGAGTTTTGTTGGAGCTGTATTCATCCAGGAAGAGAAAAGTATTCCATCATACTCCTGACTTGTTTCTAGCAGATTTTAAAGCATCTGCAGTTGTGTTACTCGCTGTAGAATTCCTAGTCTCTGATCTGGTACTAAGGTCACGATATTTATATGGCTGCTACAGTTCAGTTCCTTATTAATGGTAATCCCCAGGATGTTGATGGTGTGGGATTCAGTAATGGCAACGCTGTTCAACATCAAAGGCGATAGTTAGATTCTGTATTTTTGGAGGTGGTCAATGTCTTGCAATTGCGTGACACAAGTGTTACTTGCTACCTGGATATTTGGACGTGGATGGCTTTAGTATCTGAGGAGTCGCGAATGGTGCAGAACATTGTGTAATCACCAGAGAACATCCTCACTTCTGACCATATGATGGATGGGAGGTCATTGATGAACCAGCTAAAGATGGTTGGGCCTAGGGGACACTACATTACTTTATGACACCAACAAAAGTATTCACAGCCCTTTGGTGAACAGAAATTTGATTTCACAACATCCTGCCAGCTAGTTAGTGAGAGATCTACTCACAGAGCCTCTTCAGGACCAGATCCTAACTTTGAAAATCTAGAATGCACAAAATAAAGTAAAGCCATTGTAAGACATTTCAACAATACTTACTTTGCTGTTTGAGCCTTAAAATCATAAATTGCTTTAGCAGGCTGTCTCTGAAAAGAGAAAATATGTTTCAAGAAAATAAATACTTTTGTACGGATCGAGGATTTGTTTTGTAAGATCGATGCCATTAATATCATAATGCTGGCATATCTGCGTGACTGAAATTTTCCGAGTTTTGAAGAACACGACCTGAACTCAGATGTAAAGCTAATTTGGTTCCTTGACCTAAATCTTGCGCTAATTATAAAGATTGACTGGATGGCTGTTTGCTTCAAATAGAGTCATACAGCACAGAAACATACTGTTTGGTCCAACTAGTCCACACTGACCATATTCCCAAACTAAACGGAGTCCCACCCGCCTGCATTTGGTCCATATCCCTCCAAACCTTTCCTATTCAGGTACTTATGCAAATTTCTTTTAAACATTATAACTCTACCTGCATCCACCATTTCCTCTAGCAATTCATTCCACACACGAACCACTCACTGTGTAAAAGTTACCCCTCACGTCCTTTTTAAATCTTTCTCCTCTCACCTTAAAAATATGCCCCCTAGTTTTGAACTCTCCCACCCTAAGGAAAAGACCCTCGCTATTCACCCTATTTATGCCCCTCACTATTTTTCCCCCATAACCCTCAATTCTGTCTTTGATTAGAGAATGGTCCTTTTATCATTGTTTACTTTAGGCCATGCAGAATCTAGAGGCCATGTGCCTGTGAGTCAAACACAAGTTAGGCCCTTCAGAATTAAATCAATCTAATGTCCCAATTATTCAAAATAAACATGAAAGCAAATCATTGAAACAATATCATAAAGTTTTTAATCTTTCCTGGTATAATCACTGCAACAAAGGTATAACAAAAACTCAGAACTCCAACTTGCCCCTTTTTACTAATTTATATACTAGGTACCCAATGGATTTTTAAAAATTTATTGATGGGGTGAGGGGCATCACTGGTTAGGACAGTTAGAATAGTTAGGTGCTTGATTTTGACTGGAACAGGCTCAATGGGCTGAAGGGCCTTTTCTGTGCTATAGATCTCAATGACTATACCATTCTATGAAGTCTGGTCATTTTTACATTAATGGTTGTGGGAACTTGCTGCAGACAAACTGGTTGCCACATTTCATACATTACCACAGAGATTACACCACTGTGTAATGGTCTCAGTGTAACAGTGGCTCAATGGTTAGCGTTGCTGCTTTAGAGTGACGGGGACATCGAACATAGAACATAGAACAGTACAGCACAGCACAGGCCCTTCGGCCCACAATGTTGTGCCGAACTTTTACCCTAAACCTAAGGTCTATCTAACCTCCACCCCGACCTTATACTATCACCCATATGCCGATCTAAATAGAACAAACTGACCTGAGGTCAATTCCACCTTCAGGCAATTGTCTGTGTGGAGTTTGAACATTCTCCCCGTGTCTGCGTGCGATTCCTCTGGGTGCTCTGGATTCCTCCCACAATCTAAAGACGTGCAGCTTAGGTGGATTGGCCATGCTAAGTTGCCCAGTACCCAGGGATGTGCAGGCTGGGTGGAGTGGCTATGGGAAATGCAGGGATACAGGGATAGAGTAGGGGGTTGAGTCTGGGTGGGATGCTCTTCAGAGGGTTGGTGTGGACTTAATGGGCTGGATGGCTTGCTTCTACACTGTAGGGATTCTACGATTACACTTCTAAATGAGATTCGCTGGCTATAAAGAGGATTGCAGCATCCAGTCTTCAAAAAGATGATCCTTTATTTGTTTCTTAAAACAGGCAACTGAGTTGAAAGTTCCAAATTTTCTCCCCTCCTGGGTTGAACTGCAGACCTTATATTGCTGAGAATGAAACTACACTGCTAACAGTTGCTCCTGAGATCTAAAGAACATCTGTGCAACAATGTAAATGTAATATAACCACATGGAGGAACATACAGGAGCAGGTCACAGAGTCATAGAGACGTACAGCACAGAAAGAGATTCTTTGGTCCAACTCGTCCATGCCGACCAGATATCCTAAATTAATGTAGCCCCATTTGCCAACATTTGGCCCATACTGCTCTAAACCCTTCCTTTCATGTATCCATCCAGAAATGTTATAATCGTCCCAGCATCCACCACCTCCTCTGGCTGCTCATTCCATACACACTCCAACCTGTGTGAAAAAGTTGCCCCTTAGGTCCCTTTTAAAGCTGTCCCCTGTCACCATAGACCTATGTCCTCTAGTTTTGGACTCCCCTACCTTTTGAAAAAGATCTTGGATATTCTCCCTATCTATGCCCCTCGTACAGTCATAGAGTCAAAGAGCATGTATGACCAGTTGGACTGGTCCAACCAGTCCATGCCGAACATAATCCCAAACTAAACTAGTCCTACCTGCCTCGTCCATATCCCTCCAAACCTTTCCTATTCATGTGCTTATCTAAATGTCTTTTAAACATTATAACCGTGCCTGCATCCACCACTTCCTCAGGAAGCTCATTCCACATGCAAACCACCTCTGCATAAAAAAAATGCCCCTCATGTCTTTTTAAAATCTCTCTCCTCTCACCTTAAAAGTCTGCCCCCCAGTCTTGAAACTTCCCATCCTAAGGAAAAGACAACTACCATTAACTCTACCTATACTCCTCATTATTTTATAAACTCCTACAGGGTCACCTCTCAACCTCCTATGCTCCAGTGAAAAAAGTCCCAGCTTATCCAGCCTTTCTTTATAACTCAAACCTTCCATACCCAGCAACAACCTGGTAAATCTCTTTTGAACCCTCTCCAGCTTAATCATATCCTTCCAATAACTGGACGACCAGAAATGGACACAGTATTCCAGAAGAGGTCTCTCCAATGTCCTGTACAACCTCAACATGACTTCCCAACTCTTATACTCAAGAGACTGAGCAATGAAGGCAAGCATGTCAAATGCCTTTTTAACATCACTGTCTATATGTGACACAAACTTCAAAGAATTATGCACCTGAACTCCTTGGTCCCTCTGTGTTACAACACCACTCAAGACCCTACCACTAAATGTATAAGCCCTACCCTTGTTTGTTGTACCAAAATGCAATACCTTGCATTTATCCAGACTGAACTCCATCGGCCATTTTTCAGCCCATTGACCCAGTTGATCAAGATCCCTTTGTAATCTTAGAAAATCTTTTTCAATGTCTACTATGACACTAATTTTGGTGTCGTTCACAAACTTACTAACCACGCCTTCTATATTTTCATCCAAATCATCAATATAATTGATAAACAAAAGAGGACCCAGAACCGATCCCTGTGGAACACTGCTGATGGCAGACCTCCAGTCTGAGAAGCAACTCTCTATCACCACTCTCTGTCTCCAGCTGTAATGCTGTATTTGTACCAGCCTCCACCACCTCCTCTAGCAGCTCATTCCATACACACACTACCCTCTGTGTGAAAAAGTTGCCCCTTAGGTCCTTTTTAAATCTTTCCCCTATCACCTTAAACCTATATCCGCTAGTTTTGGACTCCCCTACCGTGTGAAAATGACCTTGGCTATTCACCACGTCCATGCCCCTCACAGATTCATACAGCACAGAAACAGACACTCGGTCCAATCAGTCCATGACGAACATGATCCGAAACTAAACTAGTCCCACCTGCCTGATCCTGACCTATGTCCCTCCAAATCTTTCCTATTCATGTACTTATCCAAGTGTCTTTTAAATGTTATAACTGTGCCTGTATCCACCACTTCCTCAGGAAACTGATTCTAAACACGAACCATCCTCTGTGTTAAAAAAGTTGCCTCTCATGTCTTTTTTAAATCTCTCTCTTCTCACCTTAAAAATATGCCCCTTGGTCTTGAAATCCCCCATCCTAGGGAAAAGACACCTACCATTAACCCTATCTATGTCCCTCATGATTTTATAAACCTCTAGAAGGTCACCTCCCAACCGCCTATGGTCCAGCGAAAAACAAGTCCCAGCCTCTCTAGCTTTTCTTAATAACTCAAATCTTCCATACCAGCAAAATCCTCCTAAATCTCTTCTGAACCCTCTCTAGCTTCATAATATCCTTCTTGTAACAGGGAGACCAGAACTGGACACAGTACTGCAGAAGAGGCCTCATCAATATTCTGTACAACCTCAACATGACTTCCCAACTCCTATACTCAATGCATTGACCAATAAAGGTAAGCGTACCAAACACTTGATCTATGAGATATTTTTGTGGGGAGGATTCTGTCTATAACATTTTACAATTACACATATAAAAGCAAAATTAAATAATTATTCATAGTACTGTGCTGTTGTCTTTTTCCAGTTACCTCTTTATCTTCTGGTTTCCTACGAGGTTCATCTGTCAGTCCTCTACGGTCTTTTAATGTTGCTCGGCCCATTTCTGAGACAATCCTATGAGAATCCTGATCTATTTGAAATAAAATGTAAGAAAATAAGCAACAAGTTCAAACACTACTGTCCACACTATGGACCAGGTGGAGGTTTTTTTTGACTGTTTGGTCAAAAGACGTGCCCATATTCAGATTTAAGAATGGACTGGAATGGCCTCTGAGTTTTCAAATATATTCTTAAACATCACATAGTAATTCTAGGAAAATGCAGGCTGCAGAATAACTGTCATTTCTCAAAGATAGTCTGATTTCTGAAGTACAGTGAACCTGCAGGGTTACTTTAATTTTTTTCCATGACTAAGTTCAAATCACATTAATGTCCAAGTGAGTAAAGAATAAATCTCGTATGGATTTCTGCAGATGAAGGGGCATGAGGTTAAAGGCATCAAGTTCCATGGTCAGAGTTGAAGGCTGTGGAATACTGGAATACAGCTAAGGCCTGCTAAGGCTCCTCGGTGAACTCAAAATAGATGAAGGCACAGTAGGCAACTCCACTCTCTGATTTAAAACAAAATGCTCCAGAATTGTTGTGAAACTGTATGAAATGTTGCATATTGGCACTGCTGACACTTATAAATGTCCTTGGTTAGTGTTAGGCTTATTTCGCGTTATTTCGAGCACTCCAGACTGGCTGCTGTATTTGTAGAGTGGAATGTCTGGTTAAATTCCTGCCTGCATATGCTCCATCATTTTATTTCAGGGACTGATCTCTGAAACAGTCACCAGTATCAGAACTCAAAAAGTTATAAGCATGCTTTTTAAAAAAAAAAATCAATAAATGTGTATTCAATAGATAGAATAAAAACAGCTTATACGTTTCCTTGTTATCTGTTATTCAAAAACCCTATACTATCTGGAAGCTAAAAATACCTGACAATATGCAACACTTTATTCCTAAATTTCTATTCCATATTTATTAATCATTTATTCAAGGCATGATGATTTCACTAGCTTTTATCGGCAACTCATTGCTATTTAGTACTCACTGTTTATTGCATCTTTAGTCAACAGTTCATAAATAGGTAAGGCCACATCAATATGAAGATCTATTACAGAATTACGTCACATTGCACATATCTATTCTGAGTTTAACATATTGCAATTTAATAACTTGTTACACCCAGAGGCAATAGCCATAGGAGTTCAGGAGCACTACATACCTTACAGTCTGTTCTGATTTGTATGCAGCTAAGCCATATAACTTACAGCAGGCCTGGCCTAACAGAAGCAGCAGTTTGGTTGACACAGAGCACATACTGAGAAAATGACGGAATCAACTGGGACAAGAACCAGCCAATCAGGAAAAGGAAGTAGTGAAGTTCAGGGGCAGCATCACTGTATTGGTGAAGTTTTACTGATTGTATCAGCCACAGACTGACATCATCCCAGGTTAGGCGCTTGTAGGAATTTTGAGATTTTCCTTAAATTGCAAAGAGTGATCCATCCATCATCTGTGGATTTTCACAACCAAAAAGTGGATTTCTAAAACCGAGCCATTTATGCAATTGTTGCAAACAGTCTTTTAGATTGCTGTTATTAGCTATCCACTATTCCTTGGTGAATCTCCATCATGGAAAGTGTGGAATGTTACTGTCTTAGTTCTGTTTTCAAAACTTCCTACCCAAACCCCTCTGTCACTTTACCTCTCTCTGTGCCATGAAAAATCCCTCAGGAACTCTTAAATCCTGACTGTTCTTTCTTTCCACCTTCCCTCTCGCTCTCTGGATCTCCTGGCAATATGTAGCTCAGTGCCTTGCCTTACAGAGCAGGCATCCATACAGACAATGGCAAAGCAATCACATTCTTCAAATTTTTTTCCTGACACACCTTGTTTTAGATGAACTTAATCTAATCCACAAAAATACTTCATGTTGAAATCAGTTTCCCTGGGCTCAGAAACAGCACAATGACCTGGACAACTAATGAGGAAGGGTCACTACATTCATGGTCAGATTATTTATTAAGATGGAAATAATTTTTTTTTAATTTGTGCATGGAACAAATTCTGGCTGAGCCAGAATTTATTGACCATCCCTCAGTGCCTAGGGGTCAGTTAACAGTCCACCACATTGTTGAGGTTCTGGAATCACATGTAGACCAGACCAGGTAAGGATGACAGATTTCCTCTTCTAAAGGACAATCGTAAACCAGATGAGTTTTTCCTGATGATCAACAATAGATTAATGGTCATCATTAGACCCTTAATTCCAGATTCTTTATTGAACTCAAATTTTACCATCTGTCATGGTGGGATTTGAACCCAGATTCCCCAGAACATTAGCTGAGTTTCTGGATTAATAGGTCTAGCAATAATACCACTAGGCCATTGCCTCCCTGATAGATGATAGCATTGGCAGTCCTGGATTTCTACTCTGTATTGTGCATTAATGTTTTGTTTTTCAAACTGCACATATTCAGTACCATTTCATTTGTAAACAACTTGTTATGTGATGACACGAATTAAGACCAAGCAGGGAAAAAAAATCATTCAGTTGTTAAAAGTCTATACGCCATTTGGTATCCATGAATTCAAATGAGAAACATAAAAATGACTGGTAAAGTAGCACATATTTAGACTAGCTTAAATTAATTCACCCCCTGCCTCTAGTTCGATATACGCCGTACCTGAGCTATTATTAGCCTTGATTTAATTATATTTTAGCTTTAACAATTCAACAATATGAAGGTTATGGATGGATGGTCTCATCACCTCTTTTAATACAATTGGGAATTCCAAAATCTAGATTTTTAAAAAATTTTTAAATAGAATATGTCAGCATGTTTCCAGACGGAACAACTGAGAAAAGACCAATTAAAAATTGATACATTGTGTCCTCTGCTTAAAGTGAAAGAGCTTCCGAGTGCATCGAGTGTACCCGGTATGATCAGGTACCCTGCAGAGCTGAATTCCTAGTTCATTTTAGGCTGGTGCAGCTACTGTCAGTTTAAATACTGTGTGGACCTGGAATATTTAAAGCAGACCCAGATTCTGAAGACAGACGAGAATTGAAAGCAATATTTAATAGCAAAAAAGATACTTGTCTGTAATTTTCAGATGCAATGTTGGCAAACCTCTCAATGGCGTGAATTAAAAGCAGCTGTTCCTCTTAAGTCAAAGGGACAATAAGAAGGGGACATCATTTCAAAGTGGAAGGCAGAAGGTTTAGTGGGGATTCAAGGAGAAGCATTTTCACCTAGACGGTGGTGGCAATCTGGGATACACTGCCTGGGAGGGTAGTTGAGATGGGCCACGTCACCACCTTTAAAAAGTACTTGGCTGAGTACTTGAAACATTCAAGGCTATGGGCCTAGCGCTGGAAGGTGAAACTGGTGTAGATTTAATGTCGCTTTAGTGGTGCAGACTTGATGGGCTGAAGGGCATCTTCAGAACTGTCTGATTATATAAAATTGACAGCAATGTCAGGTTCTGCAAGTGCAGTTAAAACTAAAAATCTATTTAGCTGCTGATGACAGAGTCTGAGCAATTGAAAGTGTTTGGTGGTGGAGAGGAGGAAATAGGATTTCAGAAGTTGTTTCTTGTTGGAAGGGTTATTTCTGACACAAGTATAATGGGCTGAATGGTTATCCCTCCACACTTAAATTTCTACAATTTATTAAAAATCCACTTACCACTTTTAATCAATAATAAAACTTATGGTAAATTTCATCTTGTTTTTTAAAAAAACTGAAAGCACAAATATAAATTATTTGTACATTTTATGCTTTTCCCATCATCAATTTTTCAGGTACAGTATTAATGACTGCACTGAAAAAAAACTCTTATATTAACCTAATTGGGAAAATAGGCATGATAATCTTAAAGAGGCCTGAGAGTGAACAATAACAGAAAATACATAGAATTGATTAGTTTGTGAAACTCATTCTGGTCATTTTCTTCATTAGTATTACTTATTTCATATAGCATATATAGATATATATCAGTTTTTTAAATCACAGAATCCCTACCGTGTGGAAATAGGCCATTCAACTAATAAGTCCACACCAACCATCTGAAGATCATCCCAACCAGACCCACCTCCCTACCTTTTCCCTGAAACCCTATATTTCCTATGGCTAATGCACCTGACCTATACATCCCTGTACACTTCAGGCAATTTAGCATAGCCAATCCACCTACCCTGCACATCTTTAACCTGTGGGAGGAAACTGGAGAACCCGGAGGAAACCCACGTAGACACGGGGAGGTCATGCAAACTCCACACAGACAGTTGCCCGGGTGTGGAATTGAACCCGGGTCCCTGGTGCTATGAGGCAGCAGTGCTAACCACCGAGCCATCATATCGTTTGAAGAATTCAAGTATTGTATTGTATTAAAAAGTTTTAAAATATTTATATATTTCATAAACTATCAACCAATGATTGTGATGAATAAGAAGTTTGCGTCTAATAGGTCTAACTATTTCGTTTAGCTTACACATTTTAAAAAATTTTGCTGCCCCTCCTCCCCGATTATTATTAACATTTTAACATGCACCAACTCTTTCTCTAGATACTACCACATCTCCAATCTTAAGTAAGGGGCCATACACCCTGACTTTAGCAGTTCTCTAAAGATAACATGTTTTTCTCCCTTTTAAATGTAAGTATAGATGGAAAAATGGATGAAGAATGAATGGTTGATGGTCACACAATTGCCAGACACACATTGAAGGTAATGGTTTATATGCCACCTTGGTAGTATGTGCAATCATTCTCTGGGTTGTTGTTGGTGTCCATGTCCTGATAAGAGGCACTAAAGGGATGTTTTTCATAATCACACTGGTACAAAGGAAAATTAACCTCCTCCTCTTGCCGGTCAGAAGGCAGTGGACTCTGCTTTTTCCTCAGAACCTTGAGGGAAGAGTTTCGTTCAGGAATATCCGGAAGCAGTTCAGTTATCAGTCTGTGTAGTATGCTGTTATCAGGTAGACTCCCACGCCTCTTTTCTGCTTTGATATGATCGTAGATGTCTTTCAATGCAGAATCCAGTGCTTCAAACACTGATTTAGATTTTGGTTTCTCAGTTTTTCTTTGAGGAGGTAAGCCCTTTTTCCTCCTGAAAGGCACGGGACTGACAAGGAATGCCAACTTGGAGAGGTTGGACTCTGCTTCAGGCTTCCTGGGGGCTGTCTTTTTCTCTTGATTGGCCCTTTCATGTTTCAGCATGGTGGTGAATCTTGTGTAAGAGGCTGGGCACCTGCCTTTGCAGGAGCTGAGAAGATGCTTATGGTGATGGGCATGGTGGCCTGAGCCATAAAAACTTTCTGAAGAGGTGAACGAGTAATGGTCAAAGTCACTTTCACTACAAAAGGATGAGCCTTCAACTGGGATGCAATCACTGAGGTCTGACACCATTACCTCATGGTCACTGTCCATTTCCAAGCTTTCAAACCGCGATGCTATTCTTTGCTGGTTTTCGTTTGTCACTTTAATATGAATCGGCATCATAGCTTTAGAGATGCAATGCTGTTGCATCATAGATACTTTCCTGCCTTGATTTTCCTCATCTAATAGTGATTCAATGGATAACCGTCGTTTTGGGAGGACTGTCCTGTTTGCAGTCGGGTAGGCAGTTTCAGTTAGCATCACATTATCCAGATTGGGCATAGATTTGGACTTGATAAGTTTTTCAAATTCAGAGATTCTGGTTGGTACCATGTCCCTAGGCACCTCGTTGGAAAATTCTTTCCATTCTGAAAAGATACCTCTGTGCTGCTCCTGTTCGTATTGTAACACCCTGGATTTCACAGTACAGATTACTTCTGGATTGATTAATTCATTGCGGTTTATATGATGCATTTTTTTGTACAACTTCAAGAAGCCTTTGCCACCACGTGCTGACTTGCAGCGAATGCGTGATCTATGGGGCTTCCCATTCCCAGTCCCGTGAGGTGAAAGCCAACCTCTGGAGTATTCTCCTTTGGGCTGCTCTTCGCAAAGTAATGTCACCATGCTCTCAGACTTAGGCTGCTCCTCCTGAACGTCAACGTAGTCGTTTTGCAACAGGTCGTCACAGCTGCGAGACTTCTGCTTCGGTGAAGTGGCTTCATCTGTGCTGCTCCAAGCTTCAGCATTTTGTCGGTTCAGGTGCCAGCCATTCTTGAACAGGACAGATCTTTTTGGGCTGGGTGTGATTACAACCAGGGGCTGGCTATGGCGACTACTGTGACCTAACTTAAGAGAAGCATTCTGGTTTTGAAGTACACAGCTAAGCAGGGGTGGGTATGATCTGCTAACATCCCCACCTTTCAGATCCATAGAGCAGCATGGTTAAAAGAAAGACAATTCCAGAATTAACAGACATTAAAAGACAGTATTTCAGTAGCAGAAAACCAATAAGAATAGCAAAGAAGTAAGGATTGTGCATGAACATCATGTACTGTACTTAACCAAGTTTGGTAAAATGCCACTCTTAAGATTATTATAATATCTACTTTGGCTTGGAGTTCTTCACATCGTATCGAAAAATGCTCATGTTTTAAAGAAGAATTAGCTCCTTTAGGATTGATAGCTGTTTTCTAGAAGACATTAAACTTGGGACAAATTTTTAGTTTCACTTCTTGTGAACAAAACCAAAGGAAGGAGCTACAATCTAGGAGCATACTCCCCTTCGCTCTCGAGCCCAATAAATATCATCATCAGTTAATAATTTGCATTGGTTGAATAGATACTTACTTTAATTATAGCTTTGCTTTATAAGCACAAGCCCAAAACTATGGTTTAATGAAATCACATTGCCAAATTTCCTCTCAGCCATAATTTAATATTTTTGTGAGGTTTCAAACTATTGTATAAAAGTTACGGATTTGATAGATTTGTTAAGTATCAGTTATGTATATTGAAGGGGAGAAGAATGGCAATTTCATCGATCATTAATCTATCTTTCATTGGTCAATGAACCTTTACACCTACCATTGCAAAAGGCATGCTGTGGTAATTTTTATGGTAAAATTCATTCATATAGTTACATTATTACTAACATTTTTATTCAATGAGGATTAATTTTTCTGTGACATTAGTTCTTTGAAAACAATTCCTTTTTTTTAGTGTTGATGCATTATATGGTAATCAGATGTTCAGACAATTGTGGTAATACATCAGCCAAGACAGATTACGTAAAGATATTCAACAGTGCACAAAAATTGAAATATTTAAGCAAAGCGAAAAATTAACAAGTTAGCATAATTCAGCAACAGAAACATGCAGAATATAAAGATTTGCACATTCTACGGATAAGTTATTTGAATATGTTAAGTAAGAAAAGTGAAAAACAAATTTCTGTGGATAGTCAACTGTCTAGTTTCTCTGTTCCACTCTGTGTTGGATTCCCAACCTTTCTCTCTCTTCTTCGTGGGAGTTAGGCACTTTTCTTATTTTGCGGCATATTCATCCCCTTTTCATGCTTTTGCTGCATCTTTACTTCTCTTCCATTGTGCTTCATCTCTCTTTTGTAACAGTTGCAACTATTCCACATGGTTTTCATATTAATTCAATCTTTTTTCTGTTAACATGTGTCCAGTTGTGGCATTTTCACATGGTTAGTACTATTGAGATTTTGGAAAGGGTGCAGAGGAGATCCAGCATAGCAATTCTTCACTTAAAGGATCTTAATTAGCAAGATAGACTATAAGGGTTGGTACTCTACCCTTGAGTGCAGCATGGACTGACTGAAGTTTGTAAGATAATGAAAGTTTGTTCCAATGACTGGAGCAGGGGTGATCAAAGGCCCCTATGTTAGGTTGCAGGTTAGAGGTCAGGAGGTGGTTGGTTTCCTGAGAACAGGGGACTTATGGATAAGATTGTCATCGACAATGGCAGACATTGATTTGTTGAAATTCTTCAAGAGAGAGCAGAATTTGTTTCTGGCAGATTGCATTTGTGAATGTTTCTAATGCCCGAAATTCTCAATCCTTCTACAGACAGAACGTACAAAAGTAATTGAGGAGTGATCTTACTGAAGCAGACAAGATTCTGAGGGGAGGGGGAGGGGGTTTGACAGGGTAGGTGTTGTGAAGATGTTTCCACTCGTGGGGGAATTGTGAACAAGGGGACTTAGTTACAGGATAAGGGGACACTGATTAAAAACTGACAGCTGAAGGAGAATAGTGAATACCTGGAATTGTCTACCCAGAAAGGTGTGGAAGCTAGATCATTGAACATTTTAGAGAGGAGTTCGATGGGTTTTTGAAATATCAAGGAGTTGAGGGCTGTAAGAGCTGACATGGAAGAGGAGTTGAGGCCTAGGGCAGATCAGCCAAGATTTTGTTGAATGGTGGGGCAGACTTGAGGGGCCACATGACCTAATCATACTTCTTAATGTTCTTATGATCTGCCCAATATCTACTCTTCAATCAACATTATGTACAAAAAACAGGTTTTCCAGAAATTATCCCATTGTTGTTTGGGAGAGTTTGCTATGTTGCAAATAGGCTCTGGTGTTCCCTACATTACAACAGTGACTACACTTCAAAAACACTTCATTGCCATTTATGCACTGTGTATTGTCCAGTAGTCATTAAGAGTGCTATATAATTGCAAGTCTTTCTTTCTTTCTTCACCTATCCTAGATTATGACATGGGACTGGATATTACGGCCCCTCAACCACTGGCTTTTAAGTCTGGGGATAGCAACAGTGTGAGGGGAATGTAAAACTCATCAGATGAGCTTCTTGCTGTTAGCTGCCTGCCTTCAGCCTATCAGAAATTTTCAGGGTTGGGAGCAGATAGGCAAGTATTGGGTGGTCACCCATCCTTGGGTCTACTGAGCCCTCGATTAGCCAATTAATGGCTATTTACGAGCCTTATTGCACTACTATATCAAGGGCATACTCACACTATGGGGGAAGACCAGCAGGTTTAGTTGCATGGGCTGGCATCAAGAAAGGGGAGGGTGACAAATTTGTAGCTCCCTTGAGGCCGTTGCTGAATTCTCTCCCAATGTCAACCCCCCCGTTTAACGTACTCCCGACCCCCAGCTTTTGGAGCTGATTCCCCTACTCCCCCGGCTAAGACCCCAGACTTACCTGGACTTTGCACAGTGGGACTGCCTGCAGTGGCCACGGTTCCTGATCGGCACTGTTGGGATTGCGATCAGGCAGGGATAAGTGTTCTTGACATGTCAGCAAGGTGGGCTCAAATTCAGGTTTTGAACAAAACAGGAAAATAGCTACCAGGAAGAAATGAAAAGGGTAACTGGGTCCAGTGTTATTGCCACGGAGTTACGTAGTGTGTTTCATTGAAGATACGGCCTGGGAAACATGCTATATCAGATACTTAATGGGATTGGGGCTTGGAAGCATGTACATGGATGCACCATGATGCATAACTCTACAAACATATATTTAATCTAAATTGCATCAAACAAATTATGAAGTAATTTTTCATAACTGAAAGACAGTCCAAAGTACATCACAGCCAACAATGTATTTTTGATAAACAAAGTAGTTTTGAAGTCTAGTCACTGTTGTAGCACAAATAAACACAGCTTCCATTTAACCAGGATTGGCCTGGACACAAACACTGATGGGAGCACAAACACTGATGGGAGTACAAACCCTTTTGATTTTTAAAAAATGCCATTGAATTTTTAACATCTATGTTCAAAGCCAGATATCAATTCAGATTGAGTGACCCATCAGCCTCTGCTCAAATCCTGGGACTGGGGCTTGCACCTATGATCATCTGATCAGGGTGGAAATGCAGTCATTGAGTCGAGGTTAATCTCCTTATTAAATGCTGTTAAATCCTTATTAAACCCCCTTTTTAAAAACATGTTAATCACATTTATGTCCAATTGTAGGAATCGTTATGATTCTGTCAGGATACCTGCATAAGAAATTTCAACGAGTTCTAACAAATTCAGCTTCCAGATTTGAAATTTGAAGCTTTTGCAATTTCCTTATCTTGCCACAAGTTCAGGGGATGTTTGAGCAGGTACTAATCAGGTAACATGAGAAAACTCTGTTTCCACATCAAATTTTCTCAAATATCACATCATAAGCAAATCAAGAGTGGGATTAACAAAAGCATATCATTTGCTCATGTCAATGGGATTTGTGCCTCAGATGTATGGACACTTAGATTGGGATTTTCTTCCATCTCTCAGCTCACCCTCCCCAACCCCTATTTAATTGAATCAGAGATAGTAGGAACTGCAGATGCTGGAGAATCCGAGACAACAAGGTGCAGGGCTGGATGAACACAGCAGGCCAAGCAGCATCATAGGAGCAGAGAGGCTGACGTTTCGGGCCT